TTCTCCCTCTCCCACTCCCCCTGCTTGTGTTCCCTCTCTCGCTGTGTCTCTCTCTGTCAAATAAATAAATAAAATCTTTAAAATATATATATATTTTTTATTTCTTTCATCAGTATTTTGTAATTTTTACCATACAGGCTCAGTACATGTGTTGTCAGATTTATACTTAAGTATTTTGTTTTTTTCAGTGACTAAAGTGTTATTGTGTTTTTAATTTTGGTTTCCTAAAATATACAGCAAAACAACAACAGAAAAAAACTTTTGTATGTTTAGTGACCTTACTAAACTCATTAATACTAAAGGGAATTTTTTTTGTTCTTGCTGTAGATTCCTTGGGAATCAGTTAAGCTTTGTCACCTGTAAAATGGGCATGAACACCATTCCCTGGCACATAGGTTTCTGAGCATTAAGTGAGGTAAGTGTTTGACGCTTTTAGCACAGAACTGACGCATAATTTGATACAATACCTAATAAGCATTGTTATTATTATTAACAGTAGAGTGTAAGGTTCTTCCTCTTACCCCACCTCTTAAGGATCTATCTCCAGCAAGGTCAACAGACAAAAGGCCATTCCTTTCCTCTCCTGTTCATCTTGTCCCTTCATTCCCCCTAAGTCACCTCGCCCCTACTAGCCCCACCCTTCCCTTACCACACCCCATTCAGTAGCCCCACCCCTGATTCCTCCCTCCACCTTGTTCTTCCCCTTAGTCCTGCGCTCCCACAGCCCTTGTTCAGCGGGTCTGGAAGCTCATGGTGTAATTTCGTGGGATGGTAGCAAAGCCCACGAGCTTGGGGGACACGTCGATGTCTTGGGGCAGCTGCGGGGACTTGAAGCGGAAGTTTTGCAAGATGGTAGTGAGGAAGAGAAAGAGCTCCATTCTAGCCAGGCCTTCTCCAAAACAGTACCGCTTTCCTGAAGACACAGAACCGGAGGGCTGGAGGTGAGGCCTGCTCCCTTGCCCCTCTACCCACCCCCAAATGCTTTCTCCCAGGGAGGAGGGGCTGGAATAGCGTGGCCTGAGAGACTTCCAGAGGCGTCTCTAATCCTCTCTGAGCATCAGTTTCCCTTGTGCATGGGACAGGGCTGAGCTAGCTGTAGCAATGGGAAATTTCGATACCCCTTCCGTCCAAGTACACACTCAGATATGGCTGCTGGGCCCTCACGTCCAACCGAGGACTCTAAAGAATTTAAATGACTCTGGACAAATGTCTGACTCACTAAGGGCTTTGATTTTCCCCATCTCTGAAACAGGTGTGGTCATCCTTATCCTTCTGCTTCAGCTCAAGTCGTTATGGGGGTTGCAGCTGAGGGGTTCCAAGGTACATCATGAGAGGGACTTCCAAGCTGGCGAAAGACACCAGGCTACACCTTCGAGAAGAGAGCTGGGATGAAGGAGCCCCTGTTGGTGGGATCGGTGGCTTGGCAGCAGACAGTGGTCTCTTACCAATGGAGAAGGGCACAAAAGCATCACTCTTCTTAAACTGCCCGTTCTCATCCAGGAAGTGGTGGGGGTGGAAGTCTCGGGGGTTGGAGAAGAACTTGGGGTCTCTCAGCACGGAGCCCAGCATAGGGAACACTTCAGTGCCCTGGTGAGGAGGAGAAGGGGTATTTGATAGGGTGGAGTGGGGGTAGAGTATGCTGAAAAGGCATGGAGCTTGGAGGGACAATTGGGATGCCCTAGGTGATGAGAAATGCGAGGCGTGGGAGGCGTGTGGGTCCTCTTAGGGAGGAGCTTTGGGAGACAGGAGATTCATGTCTCTGAGACAGGAAGCTATGCAGACGTGGGGTTTATGTCTCCCGAGAAGGGAAGTGTGAAGAACACAGGTTCTGTGTCTCTTAGGACAGAAGGTGTGGGGGATGTGCAGTTCATGTCTCCCAAGGCAGGAGGTTGAGAGGACATGGGGGTTCATGCTTCCAGAGACAGGAAGTTTGAAAAACACTGGGTTTCTGTCTCCTAGGCGGGATGTTTGGGAGACATGAGACTTGTGTCCTTGAGGGAGGAGGTCTAGAAATGAAGTTCATGTCTTTTGAGAGAGGACGTTTGGGGACATGGAGTGCATAATCCTTGCAGCATGAGCTCTGGGGAGATACTGGTTTCAAGAATCTCTGAGTGGGAAGGTTGAAGGGTCATGGTGGTTTTGGAAGTGTTTGATTGAGGCAGTGGGACAGGGGCTGGGAAGCTTCTAAGGGGAATGGGGTGCTGGGTCACAGGGAGCAGGTTGGAGGTCCCCTTAGGTGGGGCAGGAAAGTACCTTGGGGAGGAGGAACTCTCGAAACTTGGTGTCCTTGGTGATTCTCCGGGCCACGCCCATGGGGATCATGTCTCCAAATCTTTGGATCTCGTGGATCACCGCCTCTGTGTAGGGCATCTTGGCCTTGTCCTCAAACTTGGGCTGACGGTTCGTGCCAACCACCCGGTCAATCTCCTCATGGACCTTGGCTGTGGGAGGAGGGGGAAAGTGTTTAGGTATCTAGCAGTCTCAGGGTGGAGATGATAGTCCAAATATGTACATCCATGTGTGATATGGACGTAGATGATTCAAAACAGACCTTGACCATAAGCATTATTGGTGCCGCGTCCTAGTCACCTGGTCTCAACACGGGAGCTGTTTGACTCAGCACAGGAGCTATTGACCCATCTGTTCAGATATTTCAGGATTTTAACAGCCAGTGGAACTCAGCTGGTGCTGATCAGCAGAATATCACCTAGCATCTGGATAACAGGGTATGTCTGAGGTTCCAGACATCTGGGAAATGTGGGGACCCCCCAAATGCTTTCTCCCAGGGAGGAGGGGCTGGAATAGCGTGGCCTGAG